ATATCAGCAGAGCTTATTGTAATACTTTGACTTACCAGGAAAGGCGAGGGGGCGCTGTGCTCGGATATGTGGAAATAGGTAACCTCAACCGGCAAGGTGACGTGCTGGGGGCAGTATGAGCCGCTGGCACCGATCTCCGCCGTAAACCCTTCAATCTGACCAGACGGGGGAAACCGGCCTCTCAGAATGGACTCCTGAGAACGTACAAAAGAAAACCGATCAACTGAAATCACTTCTACTAAGAACAGCGCCGGCCCGTTCCAGAACACAGCGAATGCCTCGTTACGCGATAGGACGGGCTGTGTCACATGATCTTCTACACATCCATTCAGCCTCTTTTTGGACCCTTTGACATGGAGTTCCCCGTTCCAGGTCTTACCTCGAAGTTACCGAGTAGGGATCGGCTGACGCACGACGTTGCCCAGTTGCCCGTACTGCCTCGGCCCGGCCCTTTCCTCAAGCTACGCAGAGTTCTCCTTCAAAATAAGGAAATTCATTGCTCAGACTGTTCATAAAAAAAAAATTAAAAATCCAAAAACGTCTTCCTGACTGAGCATTAAAGAAACCCTCCGCTAAGAAGAAATTAACATATGGGGCCCCCAAAGATATAATATAAAACTCTGGAATGGCATCTGCATGTGCACAGGGGAAGGAAACACAAATCCCTGCTACATCAAGCTGCAGGAGCACTTACAAAAAGGCATCTAAAAGTGCACGAGGCATGCCAAAGCAGCCTTTAGCCAATAATACGGTGTTATTTTAGCATGCCTAAAGTGCTAGTTAGTCCGTACACTATAGACTGCTGTCGCACGGCCTTATGAGTTGGCATGGGTGTGTGTAGTGCATTAAGGTGACTTGTAATGATTGCCGTGTAGCTTAATCCTGTAATACGGGGCTTTCTGGTTCCCATATCCCACTACTGGTCTGGTCTTTTGCATGTTTAAAGGGTTTATGTTATGTTTATGTGTGTTGACCAATCACCATTCCTCATTGCAACCGTTATGTTGCTGCACATTTCCCGGGGCTGTGTAGTAGTTCTCCGTCTGTTATACCAGCTGTGGTGGGCAGCGGATAAGGGTCATTATTACATAGAAATGGGGCGGAGCCCGAGGTTGGGGGGGGCGAGGAGTTTGTTTTGTGGGCCAATAGCCATGAAAATCCAACCCACGTCCTTATCTTCTATAAACCTATAATGGAGAGCAGCGGGAGCGTCACTCACGATTTCAGGCGGAGTCCTCTCTTCAACCTTCGGCTGGTGCAGTCTGACGGGCTCTGAGGGAAGGAAAGGAGAAGAGCTCGTTATTGGCGACATAATAATAATAATAATACCACCAATGTGGATACGAATGTTGATTATTAATTTTTCACAGCATTGTTATATAATATATTTTTTGGGGGGGGATTTAAATAATATGAAAAAAAATGAGAATATATTTTGTCAGGATACAAAAAGTTTGTCAAATTGTAACATTGTTACCCCATTTATTTATTTTTAAGCATTTACGTTTTCATTTCACGTTTGTAAAGGAGAACTATGAGGGGGAGGGGCTTTTCACTCACCTCATAGTTCTAGCCGACCTGTGACAATGAGACTGTCACAGGTCGGCTCAGTAGATCGGGAGGTGAGCGAACACATACCGGCGTTCGCTCACCTCTCTGCCGTGACAGGGGAGGGGCTGGATTCCCCCTCCCCACTCCGATCCGCCAGCGCTGATTGGCGGAACGGACGGGGGATGGTACAGCTGGATCTGCCTCTAGATAGGCAGAGCCAGCTGTCACTCACGCAGCTGGGCGGATCCAGACATCGATGTCGGGATCTGCTCCGGCTGCGGCGTCTCAGTATACCGCGAGCTACAGCTTGCGGTATACTGAGCTTAGGGTGACGGGAGGACGCTAGTTTGTGTCCTCCCGTTACCCTAAGGAGAAATATGGGGAAAAGCCTTGACCCTATAGTTCTCCTTTAAGCTTAACTTTATTTCTCAGTTGACCCTGCCACCAATTATCTTAAGCAAATGGGTGATTTGGGTGATGTCATTCACATTTTTTTTTTTTTTTTCCCTCACTAATGTTTTGCCTTCACCTTAAATATAAATAAATGATAAAATAAAATTTTTTAATTGTTTCATATATTACCTATTTTTTTATGGTAAGGATATTTAATATATATTAGGATACTAATCTATTATTATTGAATCAATATCATAACCATAAAAAAAAAATAGGTAATATATGAAATAAAAAAGAAGATTTAAAAACGATGAAGTTTGTCACGAAACAAAAGTGAAAAAAAACCCCAAACATTTATCAGGGTTAGGGTGCCCACACACCTTACGATAATCGCGGGAAATCCCGCGATCGTACGATTATCGTAAGGACGGTGGAAGCCGTGCGACCTCTACTACTGTAACATGTTCGAAAAGCAGCCGAGCATCGTACGATGTTCGGCGGGTGTGTAGCATGTTCGTACGATAAAAGCCGGACGCACCGGTGTGCGCAAGCGCACACTGCCCATTCGGCATTGCGATCATCGCAAGTACGATCTGCCTGTCCAAGATGGGCAGATTGTACGTTTTTTTAAGTACCTTACAACCATGGCAAGACAAAAGTCTTGCGATGGTTGTAAGGTGTGTGCCCGGCCTTAGGGTAAAGCTGCAGCATAAAGGTGAACGGGAAAAGAACAGAGTACTTCCGGGAGACCCGTGGGGTTAGATGGGGCTGCAGCCTAAATTGAACTCTTCAACATGCACTGAGTGGCCGGATTATTATATACATCTCGCATTGTGCAGGAGTGGTTTCAAGAACATGAGGGAGACTTTACCTTGCTTAGGTGGCCCCCACAATCCCCAGATCTCAATCCAATTGCAGCATTTGTGGGACGAAGTTGAAAGAGCCAATCAGGCAGCTGATCCACAACCATCAAATCTCACAGAACTGGACAGCACTATTCATCAGGCATGGCGTCAGATTCCTCGCATCACCTTTCACCATCTCGTGGAGTCAATGCCAAGAAGAATCACCGCAGTATTGAAGGCAAAAGGCGGCCCAACGAAGTACTGATGGGGTGGTCCTAATAATCTGGCCACTCACTGTATACATCAATGGACTGGCTGAAGCTCTAGAAGCCTCAGCACCAGCTCTGCAGGACACCTGGTGGTCAGGTCAGCGGAGAAGTAAAGTTAAGCTTAAAAATGTGAAATAAAAATAAATGAAAATGCTTAAAAATAAATTAAAATGTGGTAACAATGTTAAAATTTTGTATCCTGACAAAAAAAAAAAAATGGTTTGGGGTATCGACCCCAAAACATTTATTATATGAAAATAGTAAATACAACTTTAATAACAGTGCGGTGAAATAATAATCATCATAACATTATTATTATTAGCACCATTATTAATATTATCATCAACGATGAAAAACATGAGACTTAAGGTGAAGGCCAAAGAGGAAACAAAAGAGTGAATAACAAAAAAAGGCGAATTAAAAAATGACAACATAAAAAAGGAACCAAAAAAAGGAAGGGGAACAATGTTACAATTTCCCGAACTTTGTATGCGGACAGAATATTTCCCCCTAAACTCTTCAACTCCCATCTTCATGACGTTTCAGATTGTTCATCTACCCCTAAACATTTATTATAGGGCCACAATTTAATAAAGTATTGATTTTTAAATAATAGTTGTACAAAAACCAAATAAAACATAAAATATTATTATTAGGTCATATTATTGGAAACGATGGAAAATATAAAGATTTCACTTTTACTGAAGCCGTTCATATCATTAATAGGACGCCAGTGGAGCCTCTGCAGAGACCTGAAAATTATTAATTGACCCCAACCACCTCCCATGGACCACCTACTGACCCCCCAGGTATTTCCTTAACCCTCCTTTTAACCCCCCCATCCATGCAACGGACCATTGGGGGTCAATATTGACCATTTCTGAGAGCTCGGCTTTAGAGAAATGACATTCAGAACAAGACCAGGACCTGCCCCGTGCTCTCTATAAATAGGTGAATCTCCCTCAAACCTTAAATCTGATATTCATATTTCGGATCTGGAATCCGATTGGCTGCTCGTGTACCCCTCCACATCACATCCGCCCCCAGATTTTGGCATTTCACAAAGCATTAAACAGAGACGAACCCCCCCGGTGAGCACCTACCAGTGTAAGATCCATGGCTCCCCTTCCTGGCTTCCGTCTCTGCCCACAGCAGGCTCCACAGGTGCTCGAGGTTCCCGGCTGACAGGGCCACATTGCAGGGGTGACCGTGAACCCACAATGCCAGTCCTGCTGTCCATTATGACCTGTCGCTCTGCTGAGCCCAGTGGAGGGTGTTCTGTATTGTGCTCACCTACCTGCCCATCACACACCTAGGTCACACAGGGAGGGGGAACTTTCCAGGGAGGGAGGACAATGGGGGACAGACCAACAAAAGGGCCAGCACAGCCTTCACATCGCACACAGGACTGTCCAAGTCTGGGCCCTGGGGCTGGGATGTCATCTATTGGCCAGCACGTGTATTGACTCTTGAGTCTGATTTCATATTTCGTACAGTCTGCCCACAAACTGAATGTTTGATCAAAATCCAACAGGGATCAATCATAAATATGATATTTGCATAACTCCTCCTAAGTGCCAAGGGCTCTTGAGGAGTACTGAGGCAGGGTGCAGTGATGTTTACAGGAAGCTATATGCAGCACCCTGGTGGCCCCTCCCGTCTTCCAGAAAGATACAGTGAACCCTCTGCGGCCGGGGCAGCGACCCCTCAGCCTTGCCGGGGCAGCGACCCCTCAGCCTTGCCGGGGCAGCGACCCGCCGGGGGCCGTAACAGTGATCCCTCTTCCTGTTGTTCCCCTTCCTTCAATACTGTCTGAATCAACGGGGCAGCAGCCATTAATGTCAGGTCACCTGACATGCTCCTTTCGGGTCATCCAATCAGCTGAGGATCAGCATGACAGCCAGGCTTATGGCCTCTCCAGAAATGGGATCCCACACATTCCCCTCATGACAGGTTTTTATTGTTAAAAGGCAACGTCGTAAACCAAAACCGCACACGAATATCAGTATATAGGAATAATGAAAATGAAGGTATCTGTTGGTTGGCAGGTTCTGCTGGGACCTGAAGCTCTCTGGCCCAATTCGGGGGGTGGGGGGTAAGCGCTACTCTATAAATTTAGCCCCGGTGACACGCCAGCTGGGTAGAAAGTTCAGCCAGAATTCACGGTAAGCCGATTCTTCTAACTACAAACAGATGTTGGTGCGGAGGGGAAGAATTTGTGCGTTCCCTCCTTCAGGCGGGCCTGGACCGTACCTGCCATAGATGGTCTGCGGGTCCACCTGGGTCGCGAGGAGCCTGGCATGAAAATACGCTGCACCCCCTTTGTTATTACGCCCGCAGTCAGGTTCAGATATTGGCTGGACCCGCTGAATATTTTATTCATTAGCGAGTTCAACGTTCCAGCCGCGAATCGCCCCGGAGGGAGCAGCAAATAATAATAATAAAGATCCAGAAACTGGGGAGAGTTAACCCCTTCAGGTAACGCAGCGAGCCAGGCGGCCAGGAACGCGGTGTGACAGGAGCTGAGCGATATTACATCTCTTGGATAGAGAGAAAAAAATAGAAGAGCAAAGAGGGAGAGAAATGAATCAAAGATGGGAGAGGGGGAGAGAAAGAGAGCGGGCAAAGGGTGGAGAGGGGTAAATAGAGACAGAAAACAGAAAGAGTAAAAAGACAGAAGGAAAGGAAGGGTCTGTTTGTACCTATGGATGATACTACATTGCATGCAAAAGAGAAGAGGACAAAAGGAGAGTAGAGAAGACGAGGAGGGGAAAGGAGGAGAGTAGAGAAGACGAGGAGGGGAAAGGAGGAGAGTAGAGAAGACGAGGAGGGGAAAGGAGGAGAGTAGAGAAGACGAGGAGGGGAAAGGAGGAGAGTAGAGAAGACGAGGAGGGGAAAGGAGGAGAGTAGAGAAGACGAGGAGGGGAAAGGAGGAGAGTAGAGAAGACGAGGAGGGGAAAGGAGGAGAGTAGAGAAGACGAGGAGGGGAAAGGAGAGTAGAGAAGACGAGGAGGGGAAAGGAGAGTAGAGAAGACGAGGAGGGGAAAGGAGAGTAGAGAAGACGAGGAGGGAGGAGAGTAGAAGGCGAGGACGGGAAATGAGAGTAGATGAGGACAGGAAAGCTTAGATTGAAGAAAATTAAACATGGAAATATTACTCAAAAATAAATTAGAAAAACAAAAAATAAGTTTTTCACAAAAGAGGAAATGAG